TATTGTTCATCAGCTGGAATAAATTGTTCAGAAATGGATTCCAACAGTGTTGTTCCTTTGTGTCAGTACAGTTACAGTTCTACTGTAGATATTATCCTTGGTGTGAATTGGTATTTTTCAGGTTCTGTAGTAGGTGAAACTTTGAATCGGGTTTTTTTTTTTGGTAACAACCCCATACATTGCATAAATACCCAAATTACTGGTTTTGCATTATTTTAAAGTTACCAAACTAACCACAATGGTTAAATATGCAAACCATTTGTTAATTCAATTTAGGTTCTTAACCACTGTACAAACCCATTTCATTGAAACTTGAATTTAAGTTACATGAAATGGTGCAGTTTTTTGGGGGTTTTTTTTATATAAATTAAGCTTCGAAGTTGTAAAATGTGCACTTGTGTTCTGCATGACCTCTGGATTATGCAATTTTAGAAGCTACAGTATATCAAAAAGTATCCGTTAAAAGTGTTTAGCTTTTTAAAGAATAAGCTTAAAATGAACAGACATGAGTCAACTGAACTTGTGTGTTTGGCAGTTCATTTATAACAATGTTTTGAAGGCCTAAAAAATGCTAACTTTTGAAAAAGATGCGGTTATCTCCGTGTAAAATGCAAATTTGTAAAAGCGTCAACGTGCATTACATGTTCAGTTTACGCATAGGGTTTCTTGACAGAGTGACAACTACTGGCATGAATACAGTGTTATTAATCCTTTTCACGGACCTGTGTGAATGGTTATAGTTTTGACAACGTTGTCATCTGTACGTGAAAAACACAAAGATAAAACTTCTGTTTTAGTACATCGTTGTTGTGTAAACGTACCCTAAAAGGAGCCATTCAAATCATCCTTCCGCAAAGCATTCACATAAAACTTTGGTTCCAGATGTGCTAGTAATTGCCATTTTTATTTTTCAGAATTGACACCTGCAGTTACTGCAAGTACTGTACAAATTAAAGCAAAACAAAAACAAATGAGACTGTAGAGACTGATGGACCTGCCTCCCCACTGCAGTATTTGTGGAGCGAGGATGCAGAGACTGAAGTGGACAATCCAGCTGGGCAACAACAAAGCCTGAGCACAGCGGTGCTAAATGATGTATTTGAAGCTGAATGTGCTGTCACAGGAGAGCCGCTTGCCTTTGCAGCGGCCACACAGATCCTGCCGGTGAGGTCTTTTGGGGTCCACATGACGTGATGTTACAGGACATGTGCAGCGAGTCTTCTTACAAGTCTGAAAATGAATATATAATGCAAAGTGCACTGTTTATATATATATATATATATATATATATATGATCTATAAAATACTGCTAAACTATTAACATGCCTAGTTTAGTTCTAGACGGTTCGTCGATAAAATGGACAGTTGATGAGGACAAATTAAAAGTTGAATCAGTTTAAAGGGATAGTTCACTTTGAAATTAATTTTTGGTATGTTTTAGCTTACCTCAAGGGCATCCAAGATGTAGGTGTCTTTGTTTCCGCAGTAGTTTCAATTGATATTTTTAGGTCAAACTCTTGTCTGTCAGTCATATAATGCAGGTCTATGGTCACCACCTCAGAGCATGCACAGAGAAGTCCAAATTAAACATGATTTAATGACTCGTAAATGTAAGTGTTTGAGAAAAGGAACAGTATTTATATCATTTCTACCTCTTGTAACCACAGCCACGTGAGGCTAAACTTCGGTCTGCGCAAGCGCCGGAAGTGATCTCTCGTGAGTGTACGTCACTCATTGTTTACACAGATTTCGGAAGTGTTACCTTTCACTGTGAAGATCTAAACATATTTAGATATATCAAAATCGTCTTCCATTGCGATTTCCTGTATATCAACAGACAACGTTGAATTTTTTTCACAACCATATTTAGATCACTTCCGGCGCCTGCGCAGACCGAAGCGCCCGCGCCCTCAGATCACTTGGACGTGGCTGTGGTTACAAGAGGTAAAAACGATATAAATACTGTTCGTTTTCTCACACAAACCGCTCGTTTCATGTCTGAGGCCATCAATGTGTGTACTTACATTTACGAGTCATTAAATCATGTTTAATTTGGACTTCTCTGTGCATGCTCTTTGAGGTGGTGACCATAGACCTGCATTATATGACTGACAGACAAGAACGGTTTGACCTAAAAATATCAAAATTGAAACTTCTGCGGAAACAAAGACACCTACATCTTGGATGCCCTTGAGGTAAGCTAAAACATACCAAAAATTAATTTCAAAGTGAACTATCCCTTTAAGTGTTGAACCTTCATTTAAGCCATTTTAAGCATCATTTTTGTGTTTTGTTTTTACTTCTACACCCTTGGAAGTTTGCTGTGGTCCCATAGAAAGCCTCAGGCCCTCTAGTTGAGAACAACGGCAGGACTGGCTTACCTGACAGGTTATGTCTTCAACCCGGTATGGATTGAATGATTTCTGACATGTTCTGCAAAACTGCTTGAAATAAACCTTTGAGAGAGACAGTAAAGCGTGAATCAATAGCGATACACTTGCAACAACAGAGGGGGAAAACATCGGTGTGTCTGTTTAACATTTAATTGGGCTATGCATGCAAATTAAAATATGTAGCCATCTATTACCTTATTTGTGCCTTGGACACACCACACATAAGCACTTTCCCAGCGCAGGTTGCAGTCTTTGCAATGATAGAAGCCATACTTCTGCTCCAAAAACTACATTAAAACAAGTTAACACACTGCTGAAAAACTGCATCCACCTTGTTTTTAGAAGGTAGGCCTACTCCATTTGTAAATGTAATCTAATATAATTAATATTCAATTGCACTTTAAATTCAGTGGGGAAAAAACAGACATGATTTTGCGTCAAGGATAATCAACTTCCCCTAACCTGGAATCTCACACGAGCCTTGGACTTGGGTTCGTTTTGTCCGGTTTTCACTGGCTCGTTTCTGTTCTCCTCATTTGTTTCCGTCTGTTTGTTTTCATTTTTTTCTGGACTAAGCGGTTCGTTCACGCTCTCCTCACTCTCTTTGCGTTCGTCTCTCTCAGCACTTTCCACCTTCTCAGCGCGGTCCACCGTCTCCGTGTCCTCCTCCTCCTCCTCTCTGAAGAGGGACACTAGTCTCCTGGACTCGACCGGGGAATACACGGCTTGAGTGCGCGGGAACCGGACGCCGCCGCTGATGGGGCTCCCGGGGGTCTGGACCTCCTGCCGCCGCTGGCGCAGGGCATCACGCTTCCGGGCCAGAAGGGTCCGCGGGCCCAGAGAGCACTGGATGGACGCGTCGGTCTTCGGGTTGACCTGGACCGCGATGTCTTTGGTGTTGGCTTTCCTCAGACGCGGGGTGAGGTTTGGGTTGATCTGAGACAATATGGACTTGAGCTGCGCCCTATGGTAATTATCGAAGTAGTTCTCGCCCTCACCGCAGTTGGCAAAGTAAGCTTTCTGTCTCCAGCTCTTGAACTTGGGGTTTTTGTAAGAATAAGGATTGTAAGAAGAGTAAAGATAGTTGTCGACTGTCTCGTTACCATACATAGCCATTTTTTCGCTTAGCCGAATGTAAAACGCATTGCGGCAGGTTAAGTAGACACAATGACACAGATTGAGGTCAGGTGGTTAATTAACCCCAATTAACGGGATTCACACGGTTTAGTGAAAAAATCCGAAAATATCAGGGACTTTTCAAAAGGGATTTTCCAGACCGGAAAAAGTAACAAACATGTATAATTCTTGTTGGAAAATACGATTTAAATTGTTAGCTGTTTTAAGAACATTTGTGTTTAGCTTAGACCAGTCAGTGCTTGTTTGTCCAAGCAGGTCTACACATCTTGACCAGATGGATCATCTTAATTAGTAATGGACAGTTCCATATTATACTTTTAAAATACATATTTCATTGAATTTGAGAGATTTCACTTGTAACATAATGTGCAGTTCTCAACATAGCCTACATCAAAGAGCTGTCCTTGGATGTAATTGCAATTTGCAACAATATAACATTTTAACACAAACTAGTTATAATGTCAATATAGAATTTATTTAAAAATACATATTATATTGTTAGAAGTTGTGTCCCCTAATTTACAGCAATGGATGTCGCTCCTTTAAGAAAAGGGACAATTCTATTTGTACTACTTTCTGTGTAAAGGTCATTGCAGATTGTGGTTGATCTTTTGATAATCTTATTAATATTCCTAAAATGCCCCCTGATCTTGAAAATATCATGATGGCAGCAGTCATTTTAGAAAAGTCTGAATTTGTGCTTAATACCCAGGTGGAAATACAGACAGAAGTAGTTTGCACCAGTGGCATAAGCACAGTATTTGACTAAAAAAATAAAATAAAAATGGCTTCCATTTTACTGAATAGCATAATAATTCAATTTAAATACATAGCACTAAATTGTATTATTTAAAAATATATATATATATTCACAAATTCTGCCTATTGTTTGCCACTTCAGTTGTCCTATTACTAAAAACCAATACTGTTTTAATGTTAAATAATAAATATTAGATTAATATAAAGTTGTAGTTTTTTGTGAGTGTATATAAAATCACTTTTAAACCAGAGTCTGGCATTGATATTGGAGGAACAAAAATAATAATATTAGATGCTTGCTGTAAACATTTATTCATCTTGCAGGCGTTTTCTTATATTCTGATAAACATGTACAATATTTTCATTTCGATTACAGAGATGGATTGCGTATTTGGATATTTTCAGAAGGAAACTAGAACATAATCACTTTTCTAGAATAAACCTTATTTTAAATAAAGTGTGTTTTTATTGCCGTAGGCTTTTCCTGTTTTCCAAAACCAGATTTGGTCTGACGCTGACATGTGGTTGTAGCCTTTGGTATCGGTCATATCAAGCAGTGGTAATCCTGTAAAATTCCACTATTTTTGAAGCAATAATCTAAAAAAAAAATGTTTTGGAATCACAAACAGACTGACAGTGGGTGATGTGCAATATAAGTCGTGGGATGTGAATCAGTCTTCTCATCCTCTGGGTCCACATAATCAAATAAGCCAATGTAATCCTTTTACTGGGGTAATAGCAGGATTCATTTACAAACAGCAGCATAAATCTATATTAATGGTGGATTTGCATACATCCATGACACTCTGAAAATGTCTTTTACATTATTTGAATGAATGTATGAATGAATTCTCTGAACTAAAAATATATAATTTACATAGACATAAACCTCTCTCTCTGTGTGTGTATATATATGTATAGTTTTATATAATTTAAGAATGATATAGAATTATCTATTTAACATAATAATTATATTTGTCTAAAAATGGTATTATTAATTTTTTTAAATATTTTTTTATTAATAAATCTCCCCCAGCATGTGCATTTGTTTTTGAATTTGGCATATATTTTATGCTAATTCAGAAAATGCCATTGAATTGTAATATCTGGCTAGTGTGTTTAGATAAAGATTTCAAATATTGGCTCGGGATATTCAAATTCAGTATCGCCACTGTGTGATGTCATGATGATATTAGTTTCCAATTTCACAGTCTTGCAATCCTTTTTGGCACATATTAGTTAGAATGCTGTGAGTAATTAGTCATAAATTCAACAGTGAGTGATGACATGAATAAATCCTAATGTAAATATGCAGGTCCTGTGTCTATAGTGAGTCTCAAGTCGGTTGTTTTTGTCCCCTTATACAGGCGTGGGGCTTCCAACACCATCCTGTGACTCTAGCACAATGACATTGGGATCGCTCACTGTTACCGCACCATAGATAGAATCAAACGGCACATCATCTTCTTCTTTCATTCTCTTGTAGGATATGTTTGTATCATCATCATCATCATCCTGCATGAGGTCCTGTTTATGTAGTACCTCTGTCCTGTACATGCGGTAAACCAGAATGAAGATGCCAGCCTCTGCTGCCTGGAAGAGTGCGTACAGCAGAGGAAACATATACATGCCTCCCATCAGCTGCGGAGGGAACGCCAGCTTCAGGATGGCTGTGCAGAGCTGCACGTTCTGACATCCGGTTTCTAAAGACACAGTCCTCCGACTGTTGGGGGGCAGGTCGAAGAGCGTGGCCAGGCCGTATCCTGCTGCGTAGCCGGACATGGGCATGAGCACGGCCACCAGGTAGACGGAGGCAGGGATGGTGGCCAGCAGCTCCGGGCCCAGCATAGTTCCAGTCATGATGAAGAGCATCAGCAGAGTGACCAGGAGAGACCACAGAGACACCTGGAGCACAAGCACAAAGCATAGGCTGGTAAATCTTACACACAGTCAAGTCAAGTCACCTTTATTTATATTAGAGCTTTTTACAATACAGATTGTTTCAAAGCAGCTTTACAGTGATAACAGGGAAATAATGCAACAGAGTTTGTTTCTGCTGTACAGCAGGTCAAGAAGGAAATAGCGTCATAGACCAGCTTAAGTAAGTTCAGTGATGGTTCAGTTTTGTTGAAAAAGGTTATTCATTTAGTTCATTTACAAATATAGCCGCTCTGGAGAAAACCGTGATGTCATCGTCCAGCTCAGATCAGTTCTCATATAATGCAGGCAGATCAATAATATTGTTGAATAGTAAGTGTCATACAGACATATACAAGGGTCAAACTGTCATACAGATCTCCTTGAAATTTCTCATCAGAATTTATACAGGCTATTGATCCATTTAGTTTATTTGAGTTATTTAGCAAACAGAATCTGCAATATTTTCTAGGTGTAATGGACATATTCTCACAATATTTTTATTTTATTATATGGATCTAATGGACATTATTATCACAATATTATTTTTTAATGGACGTAATGTATTTGCACAATATTTTGATTGTATTTTCTGTGTATAATCAAAATATTTTTTACTTTATATTCTGGGTGTAATGGGCATATTCTTACAATATTCTTATTTTATTATATGGGTCTAATGGACTTATTATTACAATATTATTTTTTTAATCAATACTTTATTTTCACAATATATATATTTTTTTTTTAATGGACATATTCTCACAATTTTTCTAAGGGAGACAATTTCTAAATATTTTAAACATTAAGCTATCCTTAAACAACCAATCCCAAGGTTATTGTAGTTTTTCAATTTTGCTATAAAATTGCAAATTTGCTTTCATCTAAAACTTGTTCAGTTTTGGTTAGTTTCATTAATGGTTTTGTTATTTTTAGTAAAACAATTTATTTTGTGAACACATTTCTATTTAGTTTTTAGATATTTAGTTTCAGTTTTAGTTTTGGTAATTATAGTTTAGCAGAGTTAACAGAATATTTCCAGCGTAGACCAAAGCAAGACAATTATTTTAGCAAAGTTTAATGTTTGCACAGTTCACAGTTAACTCTTATGCAAACCTCTTAATATTTAAAAAATAAAATAATGGTTTGAGATTGAACAAAGAACCAAACAAATACAAATTAAAAGTATAGTAAAGTATAAATTACTATAAAAAAATAATAATTATGAAACATTCAGACAAACTCATTCATATTCAAGTCCCACTTTAGTCAATAACTGTATCCCTTAAAACTCATCTTTGATCACCAAAATGACATGTAAAAGTTTTTTTCCTTGTAAAAAATGTATTCATGCCTTAAAATATCTTGAATGTAACTCTACACCCTTGCCTCATTTAGTATACCTGATTCTATAAATATGCAAATTAGCCGCGCCTCCACTCACTCACACCAGCTTAGAGATCCACTCGTAGTTTACTATTTTAAGATGCCGAAAAACATCTGGCAAGGGGACTGCCGATGAAAACTAGCCTGTGGCTAACTCGGGTACGCTTACATTTGTTCTGAATGTTGATCAGTGTACATTGTCCCTTTTCAAATAAACAAATACATTTTTAAAAAATCACACGTTGACGTGATTGGTTAGTAGTCTTTGACAAAAACACAATATTCTCACCTTTTTGCTCAAAATGTTGCTTTTTTTTATTAAACTTACCCACATTCCAGTGTTTATAGAAAACTTTAGTATTAACTTTTTCTTTTTTTTAAAGCAAAAGGTTTGTTCTTTCTTTTGATATATTGCATGTTCAGATATTCATACAACAAAATATTCTGGGGGCCATGAAAATTTTGTGAAAATTATCAAAAATGCTGGAGGCAACTTTAAAAAAAAAAAAAAAAAAAAAACGCTGGCGGGGAAAGAGTTAAATGTTTAGCTACTTCCAGTATTACCTAGGCACACACTCTTTCACTGTAAAAACTAAAAGCGTTGTGTTGGAATTCACACTTATCTTCAGTGAACATTAAGCCCTGCCGCCTTTGATCTGATCGTTATTTTGACAATGACCTCCAGGTAGAACGTCACGGGTTGCCATCTCGTAAGCCGGCTGCTGTTTAGGGGGTGTTTGCATAGACAGTATGGCTGTTTGCTACAGCTCTGCATAGCCTCATGGGACGTGCTGATGATGTGTGATGTCTGCGCGAGCAGGGTGCGCGGAGGTATGGAAATGTTGACAGGCTGGACATCGTATCATTGCATTCGGACCAACTGCAATGATTTGGCAAAAATGTTTTGGTCCTGTGACTTCCACAGAAGATATGTGCACGTTTTAATATTAAGACCACTTCTATGATTTATTTATATCATTATATTGAGAGAGTTTCAACCAGTATAACAAAAAGTGTTTATAAAACAAACTGCCTACCCTACCTTTAATTACAAAAATGATTATTTATTTTTGCTAATTATTTTATTTCAGTTAGTTTTGTTTTCAGTTGTTAGTTTCGCTTAGTTTTAGTTTTTAATTTCTTACGACAATTTTATTTTATTTCAGTTTACGAAGGTTTTTTGACCAATCGTTTTAGTCAGTTTTTGTTTACGAAAACAATGTGATGTACTTGGTAGACATTACCCTGGTCGAGAGGAACTGCTGTGAAGATGGCACTGTGTAACAGGATTCAGCGGGCAGCAATTAGCCGTAAAGGGTTTTCATTAATAAGTCTGGGAACAATTGATGTGACATATTTAGGTATGTATGGCCTGGGGAATAAATCCTGAAAAGAGTGAATGGCACAGACAGACATGATGACACTACTAGGAGAAAAGTGCAAGCCATGATGAGTGACAAATCAGCCCACTTTTATGCACTCCACTTTCCCGTCGCACCCACCCCCCAACAGCCTCTATTCCTTTATCACACACTCTGTCACCCCCACCCCTCCGCCTCTCTATCTCACAGTCGCCACCGTGCTCTTCTGACCAGGCTGTTCTTAGATAAGCTCAACTGAAGGAGGAACCCATGTGACGCCACTTCAGTCTCCTAATGGCGCAGAGATTGTGGACGTTAAGACCACATATGATAATCCATCACCAGTGATATTTAAGAAAAGACAGCATAATTCAGCATAATCATAATTCTAAAATATTTTCTTATGATGAAGATATTCCACTAGTGACTCCTCTAAATCAACTGTCTGATGTTTCAGTTTCCTTTTCCTAATAGGAAATGCGAGCAGCTGTGGCCCTACCTTGAACCACTGTTAGACAACTGAACATGTTTTTGTTTTTTTGCATTTAGTCACCTTAATGATGATTTCTGCCACTCGAGCATAGCGCTGTCTGAGCCAGACCCCGAGCCCGATGGGAATGAGGGTGCTGCAGAGAGTGAGAATGATCGCGCCGAAGGGCAGAAGGTTGACCACGGGTGTGTTGATCCAAGCGCGGCTGTACATCCACAAACACAGCGGCATGAGCACGAGCGCCAGGACAGTGGACGAGATGGTCATGACGATGCTGGAAAACAAAACCCACCAAAAGCAATGTATTACCAAGTCAGGCAAACAGTTGACGCGTTATTCTGACCTTTATTTAATTTATGTGTTATGCACTCAGTGTCATTATCTCTCGATATTGTAATTTGGTCAGAATGAAAAGAGATTAATAGGCCTACTGACAAATATTAAACCACAATTATGTGTAATGTCCAAAAATCCATACATATTTAAAATTAAATATTTTTTAACACATTATCATCTTTTTTTATTGTTGACATTCTCACAATATTTTTTTTTATTTTCTGTGACATATCTGTATATTCACATATACATTTCTTCGCATTTTAGGTGTGATAGCCTATACAGTTTTTCTTTAATGAGCCTAATAACATATTCTCACAATATTTTATAATATCACAATCTTTTTTCACAAACATTTTTATGCACTCTTAAAAACAAAGATTATTTATTGTCATCGGTGGTTCCACGAAGAACTTTTAACATTCATCGAACCTTTACATTCCACAAAAGGTTCGTTATAGTGGGAAAAGGTTCTTTAGATTAAGATGTTCTTAACTAAAAAATAATGGTTCTTTTAACAACTGTTTACTGAAAGGTTCTTTGGGAAACCAATAATGGTTCTTTAATGGCATCAATGCAGCAACAACAAAACAAAACACAATCCCTTTGAAGCCTTTATTTTTAAGAGTGTAGTTGATCACCAGACGGATGTAATAGACATCATAGCTACCTGAGGTTCATCTCGCCGTTGACCAGCAATGACATGATGTTGGAGAGGTTTCCTCCAGGGCAGCAGCCGCAAAGCAGCACAGCCATAGCGGCCACATCATTGAGGGAGAAGGCCAGAGCCAGGAGGAAGGCGATGAGGGGCATGAGGACAAACTGGCACAGCACCGCCAGCAGGACTCCTATGGGCTTTCGGATGTGCTCGCCCAGCTGACTGAGCTCCACCGTGCAGCCCAGCCCCAGCATGGTGAAGCACAGGACAAAGCCAACAAACACATTAATCCAGTGACTCAATGGTGAATCCCAGAAAGCCACAATCAGGTGAGTGGGCTCTTCAGAGGGCGAGAATGGACCCGCCAGGAGCCCCGCTGGAGCCACGTCAGTCCTGAAGCTGCTGAGCACGAGAGACAGCGGCTCTTCTGTGGCGCGCAACTCTGCCATGGGAGGCTTCTCCGAGAAGCTGGCTGGGTCCTCTGTGAAGTTCAGAAGTCGCGTGAGCGCGGCGGTGTTTGGCACGCTGCTGGAGGTCTCCATCGCGTCTCTAGAGCACTGCAGCTCTCCAAATGAACCTTCAGTCTCCGCGAGTATCTCCTTGACCTGATGATAAAGGCGCGCGGTCCCCTAGCGGCGCAGGATCATTGTAAGTCTGTCAGCAGTGACTTAGGGACACTAGGATGTCCAGCGCTGAGCGCGCGGTGTCACCGGGAGGGGTTTGGCGTAGCGCGCGCGTCACCAAGAGCCATTACAGGCTCCAGCCACAACAATTACCTCAGAAACTGATCACAAAGACACATTTCTGGAGAAATTCGTTGAAACTGGATTGGAACATGACCGTTGGAACTTAAACGTTTGTTATTCCGCACTAATATGTTAGGATCTTTATTTCAATTCTGTGTCATGCACTTAGTAGCTAATAATTTAATGAATGTCTTTATTTTCATTAGGTCAGAATTACCAATAAAGAGCATACTGACAAAGATCAACATGTTTAGGTGGGGGGAAAAAACTTAAATATAGCTAAGGAAACCGTTAAATTTTAGGGCCATCTAATGTTCACCATAAATCATTTTGGCCTCAAATTTCGTTAATTGTTTACATTGTTTAAAATTCTTCAAATAGCCTGTTCGATAGTCTTGTTCATATGGATTGTCGTATACCTGTTTGTATTGACAATAGCCTACAATTAAAGTTCTTATACTCTATTTGGAAAATATCTCAAGTAAAATGTATGTCAATTGTAGCCTACCAAATATTAGATTGTTTTCAACTGACAGATTTTTTTTTACGATTAATTTATATAGCCCAAAGAATAACAACAACAACAACAACATCTCTGTTGTTGGAAAAAGACAATTGATGGAATAGTAAGATGTAAGTATGTCTATTCAATTATTATGTATCGGATTTGTAACTCTGTTTTCCCCTATGTTGAAATTTCAATAAAATCAGTTCACGTAAAAAAATATTAAACAACAACAACGATAATAGCTTAAAAATACAACATTAAAAAGCTAACTTTCCTCAGTAACACATTATAATAACCAAAATAAACTGTTTAACTAATTATTACTAGCTCAAATAATGCTGCATCATTAATAAACCCCGGATGTGTCGTGGCTGACCAGATGTCTTTTAAGCACAAGTGAACATTTCACCAGGAATAAACAAATCACTGGGACAGTTGTTATATATAACAAAATTTGAAATTAAAAGGTGTCCATTTGTGTAGAACATTTTGTTGTGCAACCTCTTGTTCATTGTGCAATGCTGATGCTCCTGCCAAAACATCAATCATTTACATGTATTGATCTAATACTTGACTGTTATAAAGCGTTCCATATAAACATTTCCTCAGTTTACATTCAAATTTGATATTTTGACAAATTACACAATTTATTATTCCACTTTTATTAATACAACACCCGTGTAACCACCTATACTTTAAATTTGATATACTTTTCTTTTAGGAAATGTCTTGTGTACTTTCACCCTTCAGGCATGTCCAGATGTAGGCTACTCATTATTTACATAAGTGACGGGTTTTCTCTGACTGTCCTACTTTCCTGTAAACAGTGCTTGAGTCACACACGGGTAGTCTCTGTCAGGATATAACTGAGGGGAATTAGCAGAGTTTTGGAATAACTGGGCATCTAAACAATAAAAGGTACGCTCGTTTTGTAAATGTTTTACCATTTTAGACTGAGCTTCAGTCAGGGAACTTAGATAGCCTAATCTACATTTCTATGTGATTCCTTTTTCTTCGCTTTCTTCTTATATTATAGCTACATTCATGAAATTATTTTTGTTCGAAGTAAATATATTCTCAAAAACAAACGAGGAAGCTCTTTGCTAGGAATAAATCATCAGCTTAAAAGCAAAAAAATAACCATTTGAACTTCAACTTTTGAAGCTCGTGAAGATGAATTCCTGGCTCATGCACGCGCTCTCGGTGATGTTCGTCTTCTGTTCCCGTGACGCCATCTCGTGTCCAAAGCGATGCACGTGCCACTTCAGCGCCAAAAGCACCGAGGTGGTGTGTCCTGATGCTGGCCTCTCTCATTTCCCTGGAGACGGTCTCCCAGGCAACACCACCTCCTTAACCATCCAGTTCACCAACCTGAGCGTGCTGACCTCTCAACACCTGAAAGCCATCCCACTGCTAGAGGAGTTACACCTGCCCGGAAACAAACTGAGCAGCTTACCAGCAGATCTTCTGAAGGACCTTCATTACCTGCACACCATAGACCTCACGGGTGAGTCCGTGTGTAGAAAAGCTCCTTGTGTAGGCTTGAGGTTAAGATTCACATGTATTTTGTAGCTATATGTGCGTGGAAGTCGCAATGAGCCGTTTGTGGAGTGAGAGACAAACATCTCTTCCTTTTTACTAGTGTTGTGGAGAAAAGTCTTCTCTTTCTTGCAAATGAAGCATAATTACTTCCAGAAATCAAAATGAGACTTTATTGAACAAAGCAAGAAAGCCGAGATGCCTATACAGGACATCTGACCATTTCACTCGCAACTCACACTTTTGTACAGTTTTAACCAATGATCTTATTTGCAGGTGTTCTCCTCCCTTTTCTCTTCTTTGAATCTCCCCAACACGTTCGCCACAGTTACTATGTTCTTCTCTTCGTAAGGGTTGCCGAATGCCAACCAGTCAAAAACATATTTCGATTGTATGAAGACCATGTTGAAGCAATGTGTTTGAACCAAACAATGTGTTTGAACCAAAAGAGCAACTTTCCATCAGTTCAGATGCCAACCACAAGCAACATCAGCTAAAATCCCTTTGCAGGTCATGTAGGCAATGAGGCCTACAAAACACATCTAGCTTTTTTCAAACTATTCTACAATTGTTTTCTATAGAATGAATAAAATATGTCATCACTAGTTACAGCACGAAAAGAAAAACGTATAGGGGTACAACGAATAAATACATCATAAAAGTGGTTTGTTTGTTTAAAAATCTGAGCAAAAATAATGTTTTTAATAATGTCTAAGTTAATACTTGTTCAAAACAATCACTTTAGACAAGTTTGTACTGTTTTCGGTTTATTTTGATAACATCATTTATTTCTATAAATAGGCTATACTGTCATTTAAATGTTTTATTTTATGTTAAAAATACAGAAACATAATTATTTAAGCATTGAATGAGATCCCACAATAATTTAATCAAGCTTTACAGTAGTAATAAATAAATATATCTTATTAAGTGTATATCTTATTATATGACATATCTTTATTTTATTTTATATGGTTTCTTTATATATATATATGGCGATTAATCTCTAAGGTGGACACCCGATTAGATAAATCTAACCATGTCAACAAATAGAAAAGTCAGCCAGCTGTTTATCATGTTAATTATTGTGCCTTTTACCCCGAATACCTTTATATATTCCTCTGTTATTGAAAAAAAATGTTGCTTTAATTAGCTAAAACATTAATAAGACCCAGTGGTGGATTTAGACTCTTTTGGTGACCCTGGGCACTGACACCTAAAATTTACATTCAGTTATTATTATTTTACAAAGTAATTCATATTAATAAACTTATCTGACAACAGAAGGTTACATCAAAATCAGGTTACCACTTTTTGCAATGTACTGTATAAATGATAAATTATAACTTGTGAACCCAAATGTTGTAGATAACCTGCTGCAAGTATGCAACATTAAACATTTTAGAACTAGTGAACCCAACTGTTACAGGCATAATATAATAAACATGTTTCACTTCAAGATACGATATACATTTAAACAAAGCATGTTGCAAAATATTATTAAAAAAAAAAAACTGAACTAAATCTAGACAAAAATGAAATGCAAACATGCCAAGGTTTTAGACTGGTCTTGCAATAACATCTCTATAGCTACATGGTTTTGTGAGGTTTTGAACTGAAAATAAAATTTAAAAACTCGTTAACACTGCCTTTTTCTGCAACTTCTTTGCAAAGTACAACGTTAAGAAAAGCCCTGAGCTGAATTTCTTTGCTGTTTAGTGGTTTGAAAGAGAATAAAGTCAAATCAAACAGCGTGTCGTACATTTATCTCAGGAGTCATTCAATGTAAAGAAAGCTCGTTACTTCGCTAGAGTATGTCGCTAAAATCGTAAATATATTGTTAAAGAATGTGCACTGCGTTGAATATGCGTTATATTTTATGTTATATTTTCAGAAATCTCCCAATTCGGTCAAAAAAAGCCTTGAAGGCAGTTTTCTCAGACACGTTTTTATGACAGCCAAAACCACTGAAATGGTGTAGCAGGTCACAGCCTGTTTTCTAACTCTTCTCATCCAAACTGTGCACAGACAATGAACTTCGAGAGCTGCCTGCGTATGTTTTCCATCATGCTCCACTCCTCAACCTGGTGCTGAAAGACAACCGCATCTCCAACCTCCACCCAGACTGGCTGCCCAGCAACAGCAATCTCACATGGTTGGATTTGTCCGGAAACCATCTTATGAAATTCCCAATGGCCCAACTCCAAAGTCTGAGTCAGCTAAAGATTCTGCACCTCTCGCAGAACAAACTCGAAGAGCTTCCAGTCGGGTGTCTGGATGCTCACCCTGCTCTAGAGAGACTTCATTTGGACCAGAACAAAATCCAGTCCCTGGATGTGAAAGCCTTTAGTCATTCTGCTAACCTGACTCACATCTTCCTGCAGAAAAATCGACTAGACGGCCTCCCGCCACCTGTATTTCAAGGGCTCAAGCGCTTGGAGTATGTTGACCTCAGTGAAAACAGGCTGCAGTTTCTGTCTCCTGGCATATTAGATATTAATACCAGTTGGGTGGAGTTGACCTTTAACCCGTGGCATTGTGACTCTAAAATAGAGTACCTGTGGAGGAAACTGACCATGGAGTCGCTGCAAACAGAGCCCAAATGTGCTACACCAGAGAATCTGAAAGATCGTGTCATTGCAACACTCACCCGCAAAGAAATGGGCCTGCCGGAGTAAGAGGAAAGTGAAAGGAAATGTGTTTAAAAAGGAGGGAGCGGGGACTTTTAAAGCAACTCGCCGTAATGGATCTCACAAAAATGGATCATGTGAATGTTTGCAAACTGCATTGCAAATAAAGCAAAATTTAAACTTTAATCTTTTTTTTTTTTTTTTACAAAAATTGCAACAGCACATATCATTTAAATTATTTATAATCCCATTTTAAAGTAATTGTCACTTAAACATAAAAAAAATAAAAAAAGGTAAAAAAAAATAATAATAATGAAAAAAAGACTGACACATTATAGATCATTTTATGATGATTAATATTCAAACACTTCTGATGCAAAATTTTGACACAAGATCTCATATAGCCTACATTACCGGTAGATTATAAAGACGGACAATTACAACCTAAAATCAATTCATCGCACTCTCAACATTTTCCACAATGGTCTATGGTCAGCAGTCAAATTCTTCTGACACTGAAGTTCTTTGACATGAATAAATTATGGACAAATAAGTGACGGACCACACAGCCTTTTTTCTTCAACTTTTATTTGAAATGATTTAACGCAGGGGGAAACCGAGCATCATGTTTGTGGAGATATAAAAGTCTTTACCAAAAAAACAATCCACAAAATGTTTATGTCATGTACTCATGACCATACCAGGCTCAAGCATCCCACTAACTCTATCTCACCGTTTAATAAATAAGCCTCTTATCAGCGCATAGTATTTAGTCATAAATATCAAGGGGCTTTCAGAACATACCTTTGTTACAAAAAAGCAAATATAAATGTTATCAAAGCAATTACAAAAATCAAACAAAACGAGCAAGAAAGGCAAAGAACCCTGAAGTAAATAATATCGGCAAAATAAAGCAATTGGCACAAACAAAAAATAACATTGTAGCAATCACAGAATTTAATAAATTATAGGCACTAATTTTTAAACAAACTTGCTGAACCTCAATAATATGCGTGTGTGCAGCAAGATGTTCAGGTGGCATTGCCATTCAGTTACCCCAGTAAGCGGCATTTTTAAAAGGATATTTCACCCAAAGATTACAAATCTGTCATCATTTACTCACTCTCAAGTTGTTCCAAACCCATATGACTTTCTTTCTTCTGTTCAACACAAAAGAAGATATTTTGAAGAATGTCAGTGACCAAATGGTTGATGGACCCCATTGACTTCACTTTAAGAAGTGGGGTCCGTCAACTGTTTGGTTACCCATATTCTTCAAAATCCATACAGGTTTGGAACAACTGGAGGGTGAGTAAATGATGACAGAATTTTCATTTTGTGGTGAATTATCCCTTTAATTCTTTGCTTTTTATCAATTATTTCACTCTGAGAATGACAACAAATTACTTGACCAGGAATATTCCAAAATTAATAGTACATAAGCACTACATTTCACCCACACAAGCGCAACTTTTTATGACCCTTGCCACAAAGACATTATCACTAGGACATCATCTGATGAACAAAGTTTGACCACACAACAGTTCAGCCAATTAAGTTGATCTCAGGCTTTTATACTCAATGAATTTCCCATTTTCTAGTAAGGACAAACACAATTCATGAAATTTGACTTGAATTTCTCACTGATCCATGTTTCTTTTCGAAAAGAGCAAAAGGATCAATCCCGCGGCGTATCTGAAGGCTCAAACTAAATACGTTTGTTCAAAAACTCTGAAATGCATATATCCATTATTCAGACATTTAAAATGCTTTGGAAACATAGCTTTGCAGTTGAGGTTTCACAATGACATTCAGAAAGAAAGATACATACATATATATTTTTTTTAAGACCAAATACTGTATGAATAATCTTTGAAAGAAATATTTTAAATAATGATTTCAAATAAATAAGAGGTCACATAGATATGAAAGACATTCCGACAGAATGCAATTGCCATGTGGACTCTGTGTTGCCATACAAACCTTTCCCACGTGAGCCAAAAGTGAAGGTCAATTTGCACAAACTAACAAGGGTTCGCCACTAACGTTATCACAGAGAAAACAAGTTATTCAGCGTTCTTCTGTGGTGGGTTTTGGGGGATTTGCAAGCAGGATAGTGTGTTCGAGCCGTTTGCGGTACAGGTGCTGTTTGGTTAGGCGAGGGCGAATCCCTTTCGTATGTTTCTTTGGCGTCCAGTCTGCCTTCAACATCTATCCTGCTGGGATGAGAGCTCTGTAACGTCAAATGAAAGAGGACAGAATCATTTGTTTGGAAGAAAGAGTCTTGTTTGTGGGGGTTAAAGACGTATCTCTATAAAGTGCCTGGTTGAACTGATTCTAGGCATGCTCAGTAGCAGCCTTCTCTCCAGCTCTCGTCTCTCATACCGCTATACGTCCTTGGAGCTGGCAGAGCAGACCTGCAGAGCAAACCACACACTCACTCAGTATGTTGGACTTCAGACGCTTACTATTTATTGGTAGCGAGTCATGAGAAGCTGAGAGTACCTGCGCACTGGCTGGACCAGTTTGCTGCGAGGCACTGGTAAACCTCCTCCAGCATTGGTGGCGGGGCGGGGCAGGCCGCTGCGGGGCGGGGCCATGGAGCGTGTGGGCGTGGCTGTGCCTGAACCATGATTAGACATGACCTTCATGGGCTGACGGAGAGCCAAGGGAGACGGGGCAGCAGGAGTCCGCAACTTACTGGAAGAGGGCACTGGAAGGAAGAAAACAATCGGGAAGATAAGTGGGAATGACGGTTACAGGACTAGAGTAAAGGCAACAGATGGAATGCAAGGAACAGAACTGAAATATATTTCATAAAAGATAAAACATTAAAGACTGAATAAAAGAAAGTGCTTTTTATTCAGTAGTTTATCTTCCATATCAATACCTGATACAAGCCATTCAAGGGACCAGTCATGAGTTAATGGGAATGGGGTTAAAATGACAAAATAAGAATAAAAAAAAAAGATGGATTCAACCCCAAAAACTAAAATAATGCAGTTAAACATCTCCAGCACATTAAAAACGACCACAATTCAATTAACGCTTCTATGCAACCGCTTTCCACAGTCACAGAACACAAGTACACTAGCATTAATGACATTCAACACAAAGCTGAAAGAAAATAAAACCATAAGAATGGATGGATTAAAACAGCATTGATCAACTAGTGTTGCTCACAAACATTTTGCACAATACTAGTTCTACAAATGTCCCCTTGTTGCAAAAATGGGGTAAAAACACAAATCACAGTACAAACACAATCTACCATTCACGTACACTTGCACAACATAAAATATCACAGCACTGAAAAGCTGCATCACCATCATCATCATCATCAGTGTATATACTCACTGAAATCTGCTTCCTCTCCAAAGCAACACGAGAGAGGAACTGGGTAAAAGATGGAAAAGAGAGGGGTTGGTTTGCATCCGTTCCAAAGGCTGTCGAATTGCTCAGGACTTCTTTTTAAAAAGTGCAAGTGTGACTAAGCAACTTTATTGAATACAATCAAAGTGCATTAAATAAATATTTATTTAGTGCATATATAAAATTGACCGGAGTATTCGCAGACTACTGGACCAGTTGGTTATGTGACAACTTTCAAGCAGTTCCATTTAATAAAAAGATACCAGAAGACATGGCACATTTGTACCCTCATCATTCCTCAACATACAACACTGCAAAGCAGCAGCAGCATTCACAATCTCTTCTGAAAAGGCCAATCAGCCACTCCAAAACAATATACAACACAAAATACATGATTCAATCCTACACAAAAACTTTTCAATGCTGCGAGACGACCTATAACTGCAGATCGACAGACGTGGCCTTTTTATGACCAATATATGTTATTTTAATGTTTACATGACCAATAACCAATGTGGATCTGTTTTTAATTAGTTTGACACAATTACTAAACAGTCAGTAGACTACAAACAGACATTTATTATTATTGTTGTTAATACCATTGTTCATGGAAGCATTATCAATAGTGGTTCATTTCCTCAATTTAGGCCTAATTTCGCTCACACCAAAAGAGTTTCAGAGCGAAAAATCCCCTTCATAACTTTTCCCAAACCTACCAGGTTGGTATGCAATAAAATATTCTCCTGTAATAGAAACGTGGCAAAAAAAGAGATGGAAAACAATTCAAATCACTCAATTTGAATCCAGACCCCTCTTTTCAAGCAGAACTGGATGTGATTTCTGAGGTCAGTGAACAGCTTCCACCCCAACCAAACCGAACTCTAATGTTGGGTTCATAAAAGTGTCAAAATGCCATAATACTCCCAGCACTGTCTGGTAACTTGGCTTCACAATGCTTTAGCCGTGTCTGGGTGACCTGCTCAGTGCATTACCTCGAAGAGAAGTAGGGCTCTGGAGTCTCTCTTTTGGTTTTGGGGAGGAGCGCGCAGGTGCTGAGAGCCTTTGGTGCAACGCTGAGATGAGAAATAAGCAGACATTACGTTTTGATTCAGACTAATCAGAGTTCAGCCGTCCACCTCCACCGGCAGGCACTTAACCTCCAACCAGACCTGATCCAGAATCAGCTTTAGTTGAATACTTTAAGGAGTGCCAAGGAAAAAACAGCCAGCCAGGATGGGGTTTAATTCAAGGCAGAGCCATTCCATGCATGGTTAAGCCAGAAGACCACTTCTAACCAGCCACCAGAGGGCGCCACAGTCAAGAGAAAAATAAGCCCTGAGCGAACAACAGGCAGGAGCAGCACTAAGCCAAGAGTGAATCCAACTACATCCAGACAACCAGCACCTCGGCCAAAAACAAAGGGTGTGAGGAAGAGACAAAGGCGGAGAGAGAAGGGAAGAGGCAGAGCATGCTAGGCAGGAAGGACAGAAATAAAACAAGACTATGTTACCGAGGGAGAAGCCTGAAGAACTCTGAAATACTAAGGCACAATGTGTAAAATCACTTAAGCAAGCTAATGTCTCTGCCTGTGCTGTTTAAGAGATGGCCGTTTACCCCTGGGTACTGAAGAGGATATTCATTTTTACTTCACCCTCGTTTGAGACTGACCACTGAACGA